ATTGCATTGCATTGCATTGCATTGCATTGCATTGCATTGCATTGCATTGCATTGCATGCCCCCCCCCCCCAAATTTGAGTTTGCCCCTCAAATGCCCCCCAAATTTGGAAACCTGGCACCGCCACTGATTTTGAAGAACGAGAAATAACTGCACCTGAAGAAATAGCTGAAACATTTAACAGCTACTGCTCAGGTATTGGTGAAAAACTTGCTTCCGATATTTCTGCTCCTGTGCGTGATCCAGTATTTTATCTTAAACCAACTGATAAATCTTTCTCTCTCAAAACTCCCTCCGTTAAAACAGTTTATCAACTGCTGACTACATTAGATGATAAGAAGTCAGCTGGTTTGGACAATATACCAAACAAATTCCTATAGATAGCTGCAAGTGTTATTGCACCCTCGTTAACAGGAATATTCACTGCATCTATTAATACCGGAATATTCCCGTATGAATGGAAGGCAAGCAGAGTAACGCCGGTATTTAAAAGTGGCACAAGAAATAACCCAGGCAACTATCGGCCTATATCAATTATTCCATGTGTTGCTAAAATTTTTGAAAAAATCATTTTCGATTAACTACATGGGTATCTAGCGTTACTAGAAGCCACAAGCGACTGGTCCATGAATATTGACAATGGCCTAATTAACGGAGTTGTATTTATTGATTTAAAGAAAGCTTTTGATACGATCGATCATCAAATTATCCTGCAAAGGCTTAACAATTATGGTATTGACGAAAACAGTCTTACCTGGTTTCATTCATATCTAACTGATAGAATTCAAAAGTGCCGGGTAAACGGTCAACTGTCAGATTCTGTGCCAGTGGCCTGCGGTGTCCCTCAAGGTTGCTACCTTGAGGGACACCGCAGGCCACGTCTAGGGCCATTGCTATTACTCATCTACATTAATGATTTACCGAACTGTCTTGATCATACAACTGCAAGAATGTTCGCAGATGATACAAGTATTAGTTATGCGTCCGACTCAGCCAAAGAGCTCCAAAATGTCATTAACACCGAATTGAAAGGTCTAAAACCACTAATAAACTAAGCTTAAATATTGTAAAAACAGAATTCATGGTAGTTGGATCTAGACAGAGAATAAAAACACTAAATAATGAAATAGATATTGAGATAAACGGTAATATGGTCAACCAAGTTACTTCGGTAAAATCTCTGGGTGTCTGTCTTGATAATCACCTTATGTGGTCTGAGCATACTGATAAACTATGTAAAAAAATTGCTTCAGCCATAACGTATAAGATCCTACATTTCAACGAACACGGCTATCCAAGTATACCAAGCACTGATTCAACCTCATTTTGACTACTGCTGCTCGGTCTGGGATGGTCTAGGCGAAAAATTACAGAACCGGGCGGTCAGGGTCATTACGAGGTCCAGCTATGACACTAATGCTACCGTGCTTCTTGATACTTTACACTTGGATAACTTATCGTTGAGACGCAAAAAACTTAAAGCAGGCTTGATGTTCAAAACACTCAAAGGTGACACACCTACCTATCTACAAAATCTTTTTTCAGTTCGTGGCTCAGAATATAATCTTAGGAATTTTGAAATGAAATTAAATCTACCCAAGCCACGAACTAATTATCTGAAGCGAAGCTTTCAGTACAGTGGAGTAGTGCTGAGGAATAGCCTTCCCGAAAATATAAGAATGCTCCAATCGTTTGCTCAGTTCCGGAAAGCTGTAAACAAGTATTATAATAGTTTAGATGAACTCCCACACGGCAATCTTGTAAACCAGTAGATCATATTCTTTTATTTATAGTGCATGCTTAAACTTGTATATATATATACTGAAGATTCCACCGTGGATAAATAAATTTGTATTGCATTGCATTGCATTGCATTGCATTGCATTGCATTGCATTGCATTGCATTGCATTGCATTGCATTGCATTGCATTGCATTGCATTGCATTGCATTGCATTGCATTGCATTGCTTGCATTGCATTGTATTGTATTGTATTGTATTGTATTGTATTGTATTGTATTGTATTGTATTGTATTGTATTGTATTGTATTGTATTGTATTGCCATTGTGGGGACGGTCTCTTCTAACAATATCATATCCTGAAATGTGAATCTCGTTAGAATTAATTGAAGAGTCCAGCTTAGTCTCATTGATGGCAAGTATATCTATTTTATGAATACTTAGAAAAATCCTAAGTTGGTCAATATTTGCTAGTAAACTATTAACATTTAGACAGGCGATGGCAAGACCACGCCTATTTAGAATATGTTGGAGAGGATGAGTTTCTGTTTGATAAATGGAACTGGAATTAACGGACTCCCGACTGGCAAACTCCTATGCATTACAAATAAATTTTACTAATATTATTGGCAATAAATGAAGTCCCCTTTCGATTGAGGTGCAAACCTCTTGAATTCAAACAAGTTTGGTTGATAGACTGGTGGTTGATAAATTTCCAATTGTTTTTGGAGCATATAGCGTTTAACAATTTGTTAGTTTCGGTTGCCTTGGCAGGTAAGTGGGGCTCATCTGTTCTTACTAGTAAACTAGATATTATAATGTTAGTATTACGAGATTCTTCGTTCATCTGGGAACCTAGGTTTCCAATGCCTTCGGCAACTTGCTTGGGTGACAAGTTCATTAAATCGTTAGTGCCTACATGGAGAACTATTGATTCTGGTTCTTTACGGATAATAGGCTTCAAATAGTCTTTCATATCATCAATAGTAGCACCCGCAAAGCTCTTGACCACTACATGGTTATTGGTGTCAGATAATCTCCAGCCTTGCAGGTTTTTTACAATAGAATCTCCAGCTATGACAGTTACTTTTTTCTTAGGTTTAGCCTTGTCATTATTATTGTTATGCCCGCCAACGCTTTGATTGTGGCCGCCAATGCTTTGATCATGGGTAATGACGCTTTGATCATTATGGTAATTGCCGTGGTTAGGTTGAATGCTAATCTCAACATTGTCAGCAGGGGCGCACATTCAAAAATTGTAGTATTTGTGTTTGTATTTGTAATTGTAGTATTTGTGTTTGATAAGAAAAGCCAACTATTTTAAGGTGTGCACAGTACTCGTGAACGGTGAACCGGTGAAAGTTCGGTTTAATTAATGTCA